ACACACACACACATATATAAATAATACACACACACATATATAATACACACACACATATATAATACACACACACACATATAATACACACACACACATATTACACACATATAATACACACACACACACATATTACACACATATAATACACACATATAAATACACACACACACATATAATACACACACACACACACACATAATACACACACACACACACACATATAATACACACACATATAATACACACACATATAATACACACACATATAATACACACACATATAATACACACACATATAATACACACACACACACACACACACATATAATACACACACATATAATACACACACACACACATATAATACACACACACACATATAATACACACACACACATATAATACACACACACACACATATAATACACACACACACATATAATACACACACACACACATATAATACACACACATATAATACACACACACACACACACATATATAATACACACACACACATATAATACACACACACATAATACACACACATAATACACACACACATATAATACACACACACACATATAATACACACACACACATATAATACACACACACATATATAATACACACACACACATATAATACACACACACACATATAAATACACACACACATATATAATACACACACACATATATAATACACACACACATATATAATACACACACACATATAATACACACACACATAATACACACACACACACACATAAATACACACACACATATAATACACACACACATATAATACACGCACACACACACACACACACACATATAATACACGCACACACACACATATAATACACGCACACACACACACACATATAATACACGCACACACACATATAATACACGCACACACACACACACACATATAATACACGCACACACACACACACACACACACATATAATACACGCACACACACACACACAATACACGCACACACACACACACAATACACGCACACACACACACAATACACCACACACACACACACAATACACGCACACACACACACACAATACACGCACACACACACAATACACGCACACACACACACATACACGCACACACACATAATACACGCACACACACATAATACACGCACACACACATAATACACGCACACACACATAATACACGCACACACACATAATACACGCACACACACATAATACACGCACACACACATAATACACGCACACACACACATAATACACGCACACACACACACATAATACACGCACACACACACATAATACACGCACACACACACACACACACACATAATACGCACACACACACACACATAATACACGCACACACACACACACATAATACACACACACACACATATAATACACACACACATATAATACACACACACATATAATACACACACACACGGTTTTTTTTTTAAAATTTTTTTACTAGTAATGGCGGCAAACAGCAACTTATAGCGGGATTGCGGCAGGCATTCTGACACTGGGGAGAACTGACTTGGTGTCACTGACACCAATACAGTGATCATAATAAAAAAGCACTGACACTGTACTAATGGCACTGGGCATAATAGGGAAATCAAAGGGTTAACTGTGCCATTTTACAATGTGTGCTGTGTTTTGCGCTTCACTGTGCACAGCCATGCAAAGCAGTGTACCGGAGCCGACAGGGTGGAGAACTGTTGTTTACTAACAGTTCTCCCCCCCGTAGATCCTCGGCAATCACCGGCCAGGACCCAGTGATTGACAGCCAGCGGCACAGGTAGGTAGTGCGCCCCCTACCCAGAAATGCAAAATGACGTGTAATATACACACACGTGATTTTGCGCACAGGTGCCGCTCTGTAGCAGTATTTATGCTAAGGGGTGGAGCTGAACCGGTTAAAGCAAGCGCAATAGGGAGTGATCAAGGAGAAGTGGAAAAGGACCTGCACTGTACTCAAAGATAAGGAATTTACAGAGAAGTCAAAATTCCTACTATCTTAATCATACAGTCCTGACTAGTACCCAGACCATGGGGCATACCCAAGCAATAAAATGGGTGTGGGGCAACAACATCCCAACTAGAACTACCAACAAATGCTCAGATAACAGATTGAAGCCAAAGCTCAACATCAGCAGAGACCTGAACATCCACCTGGTAGAGCATTTGAATGGTAGCCTTGCACACCTGGGATACAGCTGCTTGATGCTGAAAAAGGCAACAGACAGCAACACCTCTGTAGGACTGGATATGAAAGGAGGAACATTTCTCTAATGAGCATAGGCCCTGGAAAAAGGACATCAAGCTGTCCTCTGCAAATCTGTCTCTTCATTTTGTGTGGAGGTCATTGCAAACAAAGGCCATGACTGGAAAGTACACCCAGACTACATCTTGGCAGTGTAAAGCAATATTCTTGTCATATTTTGGAGCAAGATAAGAAAGGAAATATTTCACACTGAGGTGGAAAGAAGAGACCAATCTAGGGTAAAATAAAATTTTTGGTCTCAAAACCACCTAGTTTTTGTGCAAAATGAGGACAACTCTTAACCACTTCACACTCTTCGGACGTACCCATACATCTTTGAGGTGGTTACACCAGGATCATGGCTGTCACAGTATCAAAATGTGCAACCAGAGAAGGTTTTCCTGTAGAAGTGATCTAAACGGATATACAGCCACCGGATCATTTCTATTTTTTTTACGAAGTTGTACACAATGAATGAAAGCCATTGTGTACAACTGATATGTGATCGCTGGCACGCGAGAGGGAGTACTTCATATGATACCCACCCAGGATATTTGTGCTCCTGGGTATTATTATATTAGGATGGACAGGAGATGGTTAATGATAAATTATTAATTGCATTTTTTCCCCAAGCTATCTTACTTTAATGCAATTTTCACAAGTGTCTAAAACTTTAGCAGCACAGTACTGTATATAAAAAGGTTAAATATCTATAAATTAGTTTAGCTTTTTTTTTTTTTTTTTTTTTAACATTAGGCTGATATTTTACAGACAATGGAAACAATAAAAAAGACCATAAGACCTTAAAGTGATATTAAAGGCAATTTTGTTTTTTAAACAACAAAAACATGTCATATGCTCTGTGTAATGGTTTTGCACAGAGCAGCCCTGATCCTCCTCTTCTTGGGTCCCTTTGCCAGCGCGCTCCTGACCACTCCCTCCTGCAGAGTTCCCCCCGATCAAGCAGATTATGGGGGCACTCAAGCAGGCTTTCCCCTGAGCCAATGACACATGGCCGCAGCTCAGCCCACCCCCACTCTCCTCATTGGCTCCAACTGACAGCAATAGGAGCCACTGTCTCAGCCAATGAGGAAGGAGAGTGCCCAGAGAGCCGAGGATCTTGTGCACATCGCTGGATTGCAATGGGGCTCAGGTATTAGGAAGGCTACAGCACACAGAAGGTTTTTTACCTACATGCATAGAATACCTGAAGGTTAAAAAGAAAACCTTGGAGTTTTACAACCACTTTAAAAACGTATGCTTTTGGATGGCACCACTTGAATTCAACCGCTACTGTAAAAAATGATAAACTGCATGTATGCACCTTTACATTGTAGGAACTCGGTGCACAGAGTGCTTTTATTTCAAAAAATTACTACATACAAATATATATAATAAAAAAAAGAAGATCAAACCACCACACAGAAAATGATGGTGGAAACTCCTAAATAAGCCACACAAAATACAAAACTAGACAACATGCTGGAAGCAGAATTATCAAACCTGCTTTAAAAAAATTATTAATACAAAGAATGCACATTTTGCAAAAGTGGAGGCTGTTTTTGGAAAGGAGCTTTCATTGAAGGGACAACAAATGATTCAGAATTAAAATATCTTGGTGCTGGTTAAGTGCTTTTTTTCCTCTGATGCAACACTGACACCAATACTACCCTTAGCGGTCTTCAACCCTTTGTAGCGGGGCTAAACTGTGTGCATCTTTCTGATGTACAAGAGGTAGGGAAAAGTCCACGATAAGCAGGAAGTATTTGGGCTGTAAACGCAATACAAACAATGCTGCTTTCATTGGGCATATCAAACGTGTCATTACCCCTTCACAAAAAAGACAAAAGCCTGCTAGTGTAGCTGGATATAGGCTGAAAACCTTAAAAAAAAAAAAAAAAAGCAGGAATGATACTATCAGATCAATAATGATTCACATACAGTAAGGAAATTAAATCCACAAACGTTACAGAACTGTTGTAACACAGGACGACAGAACGGAGAATTGTTTTTTTTTTTTTTTTTTTTGGAAGGTCTCCTTTGGCAGTTCAAGATAGAGATGAAATTCATAGTAAATGAAAACTGTAGATTATCAGTAAAAACCTGTATTTACAACACCTAGATGGCACTGCCAAATTACCACAGAAAAAAAAAAAAAAAAAAAAAGGACAAGGATGAGGCAGGGCCTCTTTAATCTGCATTTTGTTGTCCATTTGCAGGGTCTTATTACTTCAAGTTACAGCTCACGCATACAGGTAGCTAGGCTCATCATAGCAACACACCGTTTACACACTGACTAGCTTTTGTTCACACAAGGCAGGCACTGTTCACTTGTGTTAGACACAGGCCAGCGCTGCAACCCTTCAGTAGTGTAAAGCTGCTCTTAGGTCAAACAGTATTACAGTGCTAAACTGCAGTGTGCGTGCGTCACAACCTCTGCTCTCTAGTGATGAACACAAGCCATGAGCATGCAAACACTGCATGATGTTGCATTGCTGTGATGTGCTTAGCTACCCACATGCATGAGACATTACAGAAGTGTGATCTCAGGGTCTCAGGCACCATTGGAAGATTGGCAGTGACCACAAGCACCACTTGCTGAAATTAAAAGCTGGTGCTGTCCGGCTTTATATGTAATATGTCTTTCCGGCACAGTGAGTAGGAGGTTTATAAACAGATTCCCGAGCTTGAGTGCTCCGGCACTCACATACAGTCCATGGAGTTCTCTGGGATTGGGTTAAGTGCACCAGAAAGACCCTTTGTAGGTGCGCAGGGTGGAGGAAGCATAGCGTGAGCAGCAGGGTCCACATTCTCAATGTCTTCCATCTTTGACTCGCTTGTACTCTCCCAATTGATGTGAAAGCGTGTAACACGTGGATTTGATGCTAAAATATTCCTTTGAAGCTGTTGGAGAAAGAAATAAACTGTCAAGTAACAAAACTTGCTACAAAGGCAAACAGTAGCTTAAAGTAGAATTCCACTCACCTGTCAAAAAATAGAAGTCAGCAGCTACAAAAACTCTAGCTGACTTTTAAAACAGCCATTTAGCTGTCCCTTGGTTCTGTGGTTTGTCCCCCGCAGCCTGTTTCACCGGCCGTCCTGTATTCCAGGAAGCCGGCATCTTCAGTGTGGGCACCCGGCTGTGACAGCTTGCGGCTTCACAGCCAGGTACCCACTGCACATGCGCGAGCAGCGCTGCGCTTTATGAATAGTCCCGTCGTCTTCTGGGACCTGTAACGTGTCCCAAAAGACTACAGGGAGGGCACCTTCTGCTTCCGATCGCCTAGGCAATCAGACCGGAATTGGGAGCGGTTACGTCAAATTCGGGTACCCGCTCTTCCCCGCCCCCCCAAAGGTGCCAATCCTTAATGGGGAGTGGGGGAGCAGTCCTTAAAGCTGAACTTCCCCTTTAGGAGTAGAGCTCAGCTTTGTTATGTCAACCCCTAGAAGGCACCAACAAATCAACAAGCCGTCCCATTTTACCAGCAAGTAAATCAATGCTCTGATGTGAGTCTTTAAGCGGAAGTATAGACCAATACAAGTCTGCTTAAAAATGTTGCCTCTCATTGCTGCATACTATGAGTGAATGAGAACTGTGTAAACTTTTTTTTTTTACTCCACTTTGGTGCAGTCACACCATATAGAAGCAGCAGCTCCACTGTGTCAGCGAGTGGCTGCTACAGCTGATGGGAGGGAGCGCAGACAACAGATGGGCAATGGAAGACAGCAAGTGTTGTCATGGTTTCTTCAAATGTCTACTTCTGGCAGGTGTGGCGATACATAATGGTGTTTAATGTACATATGTGCTTCCTAGCTCTGTGTGTTGGTGGTGGGATTACAAACTCGCATGGCCATCCATGTCACTTGTACGATTGGTGCCAATACAGCTGCAACCTTTCACTGCCCCACTGTAACAGAGTTATGGGGGTGACAGAGGAATTTAATCTTGCCGGCATCCTCTTACAATGTTCTTTAGCAGGGAACATAATTCCACATTAAACATTATGCTACCTAAATGAAGTGTGCTGTAAATTGCCCCTAGCATTGCTCCTGTGTTTTTTTTACCTAGAAGCTGGCCGCCATTTTGCTGAAGCCCAGAGCAGCAGTTAATCTTTAGGCTGTCAGCAGATCAACCTCTACAAATGTGCAAAGCAGGGCGAGACACTATTACTAGATGTTAAACAGTATAGACACCCTTTTTTTTAATGTTTTACATAGCTATACCTGCAAAAGGGGCCAGCCTGAAGTGATCTAGCAGGACTTAATTTTCTGACAAAAGCTCCACTAACGTGGAGCTCCACCCAAAAGGGGAAGTTCCACTTTAAGCCTTTGTCCCCCGCTCCCCATTAATCATTGGCACCTTTGGGAAACGGGTAACCGAATTTGACAGGTACCCGCTCCCACTTCCGCTGTGATCGCCTAGGCCTGTCCCAGAAGACTACGGGCCATTAAAGCGTAGCACTTCTCATGCATGCGCAGTGGGCACCTGGCTGAGAAGCTGCAAGCTGTCACAGCCGGGGGCCCACACTGAAGATGCCGGCGCGAAGATGGCCGGTGAAACCAGCGGTGGTGAGGACACCGCTGGACCAAGGGACAGGTAAGTGGCTGTATTTTAAAAGTCAGCAGCTACAGTTTTTGTAGATACTTTTTTTTTTCAGGTGGAACTCCACTTTAAGTCACAATTTGTGTACAAAAAAAAAAAAATTATATATATATATATATATATATATATATATATATATATTTTAAATACAGAACCAAGCTGCATGAAAGGATACTGGAAGATATCAAAAGGTGCTTTCTCATAAGCATGAAGAGCACCTCAAACCAAAAACAGCTAAGTTCACCTTTACAGATAAATTAAATGTACATTTTTGCAGAAATAAAATTTTCATTTTGCAGACATTTCCCCTGGCTTTCAGACTGTACCTTAGTACAGGATGTTTAAAAGTTGGAGGACATGTCAGTGGACTGCGAGAGTGCTCATCAGCACCACCAGAGCCCACTGAAACCTGAAGTCCATCTGCCACAGTGGAAGACAGTACTTGCAGTTTAGTCATTCACAGGACATCTGTGAGTGAATGACATGGCTGTGTAAGCACAGCCCCGATGTATTTAAAAAAAAAAAAAAAAAGGAAGAACCTCCGCCCACTGTCACAGGGAGGGGGATTATCAGGGAGGGGGGGAGGGGGGTAAGAGAGGGTGCAGGAGCTGGAACATGCGACATGTTCCAAAAGGTGAATGTACCCTTTTAAGCATACGCCAAATATGCATCTCATGCTTTGGACACAATGAAGACATCCATAGACCAGGAAAAGCATCTTGCTTTTCTTTTCCATAATGGCGCACTCAATGTTTTCACCTTTTCTGCACTTTTCCCACAAAGCCCCCCCTATACTGGGGGGAGGGAAATATTTAACAGCAACAATGTACTTAGAAGCAGATGTCACAAGTTGCCTGTAATAACACTGTATACATTAACCAGAAAAAGTCCATATTCCCCTCTCTGATTTAGTTTGTGGCAAGGGCCCAACTTTCCATTCAAGCCTATCTACACAAAAAAAAAAAAAAAATTAAATAAAATGGGAAGTTGCCGCCTAAATTTATGATGGTCATGGTTTACTTTGAACCCAGCTCTTGTATCTATTAGACAATGTTTCAATTAGAAAATTGTAACTGCAGCATTACAGCTACATAATCATTGATTAAAACAACATCCTTTACTTTTCTATTCTAATTGGACAAAAAAAAAAAATGCACAATAACAAAGCTTGGCATATTTTTTTTAAGAGCAAAGCAAATACTGAAACGGTTAAGCCTTTATTCTTCAGTACAGTTTCTCTTAAATGACAGATACACGTGCAGTTATGGGATGGAATCATATCCAATAGGGATTCAGCTGTTATGCGACCTATTTCAGGCAATTTAACACACATAAGCTTACAATCTAAGTAATTTTCACATTTTAAGAGTGGAAACACAGAAAGCTTGAAAAAAAAGAAAGGGAAATGATAAAATGCATACCTGACAAAAGTCTGGTTTCAGTGGTGGATTCTCTCGGAGCTCAGGATCAGAGTATTCATTGTTTACATAGTAGCCAACCCGGATAAATTCTTGACCCCTATATGTGCAAGTGATCAAGACGACTGTAACCCCCACAGCATCTGACTCTGGGATAAGGCTGGAATTTGGGGCGTCTGCCTACAACAGGAGAGTGTAACATTATAGTTTCTGTTGATACGGTTATACAAGTACAGCTATAGTAGCGGCTTCATAACTAGACCAACCCTGGTGGTACATGTACACAAATGTTTTACTAACAGTATATGCCCCTCCCAGACAAATACTTCAAACATCTTAGCTGTGCATTCAATTAACCTCCCTAGCGGTCTGATTATGTCAGTATTTCTGTGCTCAAAGCGGTACATATTTTTGCATGGAAATGTCATTTTTTTATTGTAAGTCTGTAATTTTCTAGTCTTCATGTTATCAAGACAGGCATTGCAGTCATCTTCACAATCATTACAGGTGAGAAGGGAACATTTCCATAAAGCCCTTCAATGGCAGCCCCAATTTCCCCCACAAGTGTACGTTGAATCAGTTGACAAGTTAAGGCTACCACATTTTCTTGACAGGGGAACACATATCAGAAATTCTTCACATGCATCGCGTACATTTTTAAAATATTTTTTGTAATTTGTTTTACGTTAACCACTTTCCCTCCAGGTGATTCCCCCCCCCCCCCCTTCCTGACCAGGCCATTTTTTGCGTTACGGCACTGCGTTACTTTAAAATGACAATTGCGTAGTCACGTAACGCTGCACCCAAATGAAATTACATCCTTTTTGTACCTGCACAAATTGAGCTTTCTTTTGGTGGTATTTGATCACCTGCGCTTTTTTTATATTTTGCGCTATAAATCTTACCAAAATTGGGTAATTTGTGTTTGTGTGCCCTAAAATTTACTTTAATGTACGTTTTACTCAAAGTTTGCGTTTCCCAGATCTTTGCGCCAACATCGTGTAACAGAGGAAAAAAAAAAAAAAAAAAGGAATGCCACCATCTTAATCTCTAGGATGTCTGCTTTCAGAAAATATATGTTTCAGGGTTTTTCTTATGCAATCTTCAGGGTTACATTTTTTTTTTTTTTTTTTTAAAGCATGTGCAAAAAAAAAAAAAAAAGGTTCCGGCAGTAAAGGGTTAAAATTAAGGTTCACTTGAAATGCTCCGATCAGTTTATCGAGTCACACTGTGCAGCAAGGTATGCCTACAACACAGCCTGATGTAGCATTCTCACCTGAAATACAAACATATGACGGCCAGCAGGGATTGGCCCTACTAGCACTGAATCCAGGACCTGATCATATTCTTCACTTTCTGCAGAACCGACATATATTATTTTCCACTCCAAATCTGTGAACAGAAACATATATTGTAAGAACGCTCAGAACAGAAGGAAAGTCGAACCAATGAGGTGGGAGACTACAGGTGAAACTCAAAAAAGTTCATTTATTTCAGTAATGCAACTTAAAAAGGTGAAACTAATATATGGGATAGACTCATTACATGCAAAGCAAGATAGTTCAAGCCGTGATTTGTCATAATTGTGATGATTATGGCTTACAGCTCATGAAAACCCCAAATCCACAATCTCAGAAAATTAGAATATTACATGCAATCAATAAAACAAGGATTGTACATAGAAAAATATCGGACCTCTGAAAAGTATAAGCATGCATATGTACTCAGTACTTGGTTTGGGCCCCTTTTGCAGCAATTACTGCCTCAATGCGGCGTGGCATGGAAGCTATCAGCCTGTGGCACTGCTGAGGTGTTATGGAAGACCAGGATGCTTCAATAGCGGCCTTCAGCTCTTCTGCATTGTTCGGTCTCATGTCTCTCATCTTTCTCTTGGCAATGCCCCATAGATTCTCTATGGGGTTCAGGTCAGGCGAGTTTGCTTGCCAATCAAGCACAGTAATCCCACGGTCATTGAACCAGGTTTTGGTGCTTTTGGCAGTGTGGGCAGGTGCCAAGTCCTGCTGGAAAATGAAGTCAGCATCCCCATAAAGCTCATCTGCGGAAGGAAGCATGAAGTGCTCCAAAATCTCCTGGTAGACGGCTGCGTTGACCCTGGACTTAATGAAGCACAGTGGACCAACACCAGCAGATGACATGGCTCCCCAAATCAACACAGACTGTGGAAACTTCACACTGGACATCAAGCATCTTGCAGTGTGTGCCTCTCCATTCTTCCTCCATACTCGGGGTCCTTGGTTTCCAAATGAGATGCACTGAGCAACAGACCAGGTCTGTTTTTCTTTAGCCCAGGTAAGACGCTTCTAACATTGTTTGTTGTTCAGGAGCGGCTTGACGAGAGGGATACGACATTTGAAGCCCATGTCCAGGATCCATCTGTGTGTGGTGGCACTTGATGCACTGACTTAGTCCACTCCTTGTGAAAGTCCCCAACACTTTTGAATGGCCTTTTCCTGACAATCCTCTCCAGGCTGCGGTCATCCCTGCTGCTTGTGCACCTTTTTCTTCCACACTTTTCACTTCCACATAACTTTCTATTAATGTGCTTTGATACAGCTGATACAACTTCTTTTGCTATTACCTTTTGAGGCTTTCCCTCCTTATGGAGGGTGTCAATGATGGTTTTCTGCACAACTGTCAGGTCAGCAGTCTTTCCCATGATTGTGATTCCTACTGAACCAGACTGAGAGACCATTTAAAAGCTCAGGAACCCTTTGCAGGTGTTATGACTTAATTATCTGATTAGAGTGGGACACTTTGAGCCGAGAATATTGCACCTTTTCACAGTATTATAATTTTCTGAGATTGTGGATTTGGGGTTTTCATGAACTGTAAGCCATAATCATCACAATTATGACAAATCACGGCTTGAACTATCTTGCTTTGCATGCAATGAGTCTCATATTAGTTTCACCTTTTAAGTTGCATTACTGAAATAAATGAACTTTTGCACGATATTCAAATTTTTCGAGTTTCACCTGTATAATAAAAGCTTGAGCTGCATTTTGACTTATACAACATGAAGTCAGAATGTCACAGGGTAACCTCACGAACTGAGAAGATAGCACTATGTGAAGTCAGGTAGGCGATGGGCCAGAGACCAGACTTCAGTTGACTTTTCACCTCCCCAATTTCCTCAGCAACAGAGGCGCCTATATTTTATACTGATGGGAGATAATCAGCTAAATTAAGAAAAGCAAATCTTTCATTTTTCACTACCAAGTTGTCTCTCCATGATTTCATGGCCAAGATACAACTGTAATTTCAATGCCAGTGCCTTGGTAGACTGTAAAAGCACTCATAGGTAAGGAGGTAGCAGAGGGTAGAGCTTAGCCATGAAACCAGGAAAATGTCAGCCCCCAACAACAAATTGGGATCATAGAGGGGTACTGCAGAGGCATTTCTAGCAAATACAGGCAGCAAGTATGTGTAGGAAAGCCTTTAACCACTTAAATACCGGGAACTTTCACCCCCTTCCTGCTCAGACCAATTTTCAGCGCTGTCGCACTTTAAAATGACAATTGTGCAGTTATTCAACCCTGTACACAAATTTAAATTTTTATCTTTTTGTTTTTTAAACAGATAGAGCTTTTTTGGTGATATTTAATAACCACTGGGGTTTTTTTTTTTTTTTTAATTGTTTGCTAAACAAATGAATAGGGTTGCATCGGTACTGATACCAAGCATTTGCACGAGTATCGGTATCTGTACAAATGCATCGATACTGAAAACCGATACCTTGTCACTTGCAAACACAGAAGCCCATTGGCTGGTCCAGTGCAACCAATGACAACCAACATATGCGCCCTACCCTGCAGCAAGCTTCTCCTCTCAGGCTTCCGAGCTCCCGCCGCCTACCTGCCAGGCTCTATGGGGGAAGGGGGGGGAGGAATCAGATAAAGAAAGGGCGATCCTCACAGTGCAGATGGCGGAGGTATGGTGGGTGTGCTGGTCCTCCCACTGACTGCTACCGAGGAGCAGCTGGGTAGTGGGACCACAAAACAGTATAGTCCAGTGCTGAGGAGAGTCTTGATCAGCATAATAATGGAGGACATGGAGAGGTGAAGAGGATCAACTGATCTACATTGTACTATGGGCTGTACTGAGGGCTAGAGATCACTTCCCAGCAGATGTGCAGGACTTTCCAGTCAGAGTTAGCAGTCAGGTAGGTCAGTGTAGGAATCAGGTAGGCCAGTCAGTGTAGTAGTCAGGTAGGTCAGTTTCCCGCACTGTTCCTGTGTGAACACAGGCTTGTCATAGTGACTACAGCCTGGTTTCACAGAGAAGAGGTGCAGGAAATCGCTCGTGATTCGGACAGGAATCGCACCGCATTGCTGTTCAAGTCACATGCAATTCTTTGCAAGTTGATCCCATTCATTTTGTATGGGCTCAAATCACACTGCACGAAAAACAGGCATCGGTAGCTGGTATCCGCGAGTACCTGATAAAAAGTAACAGTACACGTTCTTTAAAAAAAAAAAAAAAAAAAAAAAAAAAAAAAGCTGGTATTGGGGCATCCCTACAAATTAAAAATGTTTTTGAAAAAAAAAAAAACCCCATTTCTTAGTTTTTGTTATACAAATTTGCAAAGAACATTTTCTTCTTCACTGCTGAGGCTGCACTGATGGCCACTGATATGCTGCATTAGAGGGGACATTTATTGGCACTGATATGCTGTACTGATGGGGCTGCACTGATGATAAGTGCCCTGATTATCAGTGTAAATGTCCCGTCTCAGGACAGTCTGTTATTGGCGCCGTGACAGCACTGAGGAAAGGAAATGCAGATAACCGGCATTTATTTACATGTGATCAGCTGTGAGTGGACATAGCTGATCACATGGTAAAGAGCCGACGTCACAGCTCACCACAGATTGCTGTGCCACGCAGAGCAGCGTGACTGCAAGGACGTCAGCATAAGCAGAGTGGAAACCAGTTAAAAGTATAAAACAGAAGGTTTAAAGTAAACCTATGCTCCAACCTAAACATTTGTGCCTAATGTTACATTTTGTCAGATGGACAATTTCTGATCCAGTCCCAAAACGTAGTCAGGCCCCAGTAAAACTGCATCAGATCGAGACACAGCAAAGGGTTTTTTTTTGTTTTGTTTTTTAAAGCTTATTTTTTTTTTGCATATACATGTAACATGAGCTAGCCATGTTATAAAGCATTAAATATAAAATGCTGGTTAACTGCAGATATGCAATGCTTAAACAAAAACTAAAGACAAACATTTTATGAATTCCAGCTTACTAATCATTGGATGTGGAGGCTGCATTAGTTTTCCTTTTTCAAGCTTTAATTTTCATCTGGTGATCAGCCACAGCAACACTCCCACGTCTAAGGGTGGCTACATTCACTCCTCTGCTGTATCTATGGAGAAGCAATGTAACCACCCTTGGACAGAGGCATTGTCAATCAGTGGAGAGGGTAGTGTTAAGCTGCCCATAGTTGGATCGAGATGTGGCTGGTTCAGCACGGACCAGCCAAATTTCGATCGATGAATGGGCACTGTGGTTGTACAGAAGTTGATCAACCAACTTCTGTACAACGGACCTGCTGGAAAATGTCCTCAATTAGCGCTGCAAGCAATAGCTAAGTGTATTCTGATGGCTAGGAAGTTTCCCTGCTGTCAGAATATAATATCACAGCTGGAGGATTCCCCATCCACCTTGAATGTGTGGAGGGGGAAATCAGGTCAGTTTTCCTCATTCAACCCGGTTTTAATGAAAAAAAAAAAAGAAGAAAAGTCGACTTGTCTATGGACTGCATATTAGATGGACTTTACATAAGTGACTAACAATTTAAAGCCAAACTACAGCCAGTTACAGAACCTTTTATCCATTTGGAATAAAGGTTTTACAAAAATGAATAAAAGCTAACCACTGTATGTACCTGATGGTAAAAAGTTTGTCTCAACCTTCTGACTGCCACTTTTGCTGGACAGCTTGGGCTATTAAAAGGAAGTTGATGATGTATATTGCATTGAATGCAGTTACAAGGTGCCTCAATTAGGCTGAATAGTTCACGTTCAGGGAGCAGTACTGCCCGCTGAACGTGACAGTGAGGATAATTTCTGCTGCGTTGGTCTGACCCACCCACTAGGACACTGGCCCACGAGACTGATGGTCTGTCCACCCCACCATTGCGAAGGATCATTCAAAACATGTCCACAATCCAGTTTATTGCACCTACAGTTTCCACTTGGAATTGTGGTTTGTTCAAGCATCCCAGCAACTGACAGGAAGGTTTGTCTGTCACTTCCCTAACACTGCCTCCAAGTCCTGGACATAGTTGCCGTTTCACATTAGATGTAATAAAGTCAGTTTTTATCCAGGTATTTTACAAAGCAAACAGGTCACTTTTAAGAATAACTATGCATGTGTGTGTGAGAACAGAACGATGGGCTAAGATTACCAACCAGCCCAGAATTCAGCATTAAATAGAGTACAGGTTCACTGTAAGGACGGGCACTTACAGCTTGTGAAATCTTCAGAAATGTTTTGTACGGGGCATTCTGTGCAGACTGCTCTGCAGACTAGTGATGATGCGCTGACGCCTGTACAAATATAGTCTCACATAATATACACCCTTTGCATTCATTTACTTATATTACATATTTCCATAATAAAATGAGATGCAACGAATAACTCACCATCTGGAAGATCTTCTATACATTCAAACGTAATCTCAAATTGAAAAGGGTTACGGAAAGGGCAAGGGTTATCCAATACCACCATGTTGAGTATCTGCACCTTCGCCATGATGCTGAGATTGTTGTAAGCACTACAAAAAAAACTGGAACAAAAAAAAATGTATATTATTAACCAAAAACAACAGATCTCCTAATTTGTCAACGTTTTTGGCTTTTGCCCCACAGTAACGAGATTCTCCTGGGGCACTAATCAGTGTATTCTGATGGTGGAGAAACCTCCCTGCTGTCAGAACACAACATGGGTGCTCAACCTGTGCCCCTCCAGCAGCTGTGGAACTACAAGTCCCATGAGGCATTGCAAGGCTAACAGTTACAAGCATGACTCCCAAAGGCAGAGGCGTGATGGGACTTGTAGGTCAGTGACAGCTGGAGGGCCACAGGTTGAGCACCCATGAAATACAACTCAGCCAGAAGGATTCCTCCATCCACACTGAGTGTGAGGACAGGGAACCAGGTCTTTTTTTTTTTTTTTTCTTTTGTTCAACCTGCTGGTTAAACAAATGAATTTATGGGCTTCCTTCAAGCTCATCATTCTACGCAGGATCTCGCCTTGAAGTAAGATCCTGCATTAAATCTTGTATGCACCCATGAATTAGTATGCCCCCATAGTGTGAATGAGCCCTTACATTCATGTGGCTTGCACTATTGGCCCTGAATATTAAGGCAACAAGGTGGGAGGAGCCTGCATCCTCATGTGTGCTGTATGCATGTAAACATCGCAAATGAGGGAAAGAGAATTTATGAAAAACCGGAGCAGCTGTTCATGGCACCCAGTCAGCATCTATAATCAGTTTGTTCAGTTAAGCTTTAAAAATGAAAGATAGAACCCAGACTAGTTGGTGTGTGCAAAGCTACTCCAGTTTTGATAAATTCCCCTCTATGTGTGCTGTAGCACACTGGATAAACGGCAGTCAGTGCAAAGGTAAACAATGGCTTTCTATGTACCCTGATCACACCACAACACTGCGGTGATGTGCGTTAAAAGAGAGGCATGCAACATTTTTCTGCAGCACAGTGAATGGCACCGCAAGGCTGAGAGCAGACATGAACTGTCAAATAGTTGTTTTTTTTTTTTTTTTTTTGTAAAGCAAATGGTTGGGCTGCGTTCGCACCAGGAGGGGAACACACGCAAGAACCCTGATGCATCTAGCAAGCACAGATGCATTTGACGCTGCCAAAATGCATGGTACCACAGTACCACAAGCTTTAGTGTGGAGCAAAAATAAATAAATCGCACCTGTGCTACTTTTTTGCGCATTGGGCAACCAAAAGAAATTAACAGGCTTTCCAAAATGAGCCCAAAAAAAAACGCTCTTAAAGCTCAATACAAACACATGTGCTCGCACTCTTCAGAAATAAAAACACTCGCTTTGCATCAACAATGGTCTATTAGCTGCACTTCAAGTGCCATTAGCAACGGCATGGCAAGCATTATGTGCGTTTTTCCCAAGTTCCCTGCTGTCTATGCTATGGAGGCACTTGTGCGTGCTCGCTCCCAAGCCAGCTCTGTGTGTCCATATGGCAAGCCATAGATTACGTGATTTTCTTTCCTGCAACCGTGTAAAAAAAAAAAAAGTTAATTCCCCCAGAAACACAGCCTCCCACGGAACTATTGTGTTCTCCCAGTGGGGAAAGCTGTCCCTGCAGGAAAACAGTGATTATTGCCAGCGGCTATAGCTATTGCATGCCAAAAAATCAAAATGCTAGCTGTACCAAAGACAATCAGTGGATCGACTTGGGTACAATCAGCCTGTCCATAGATGCATCAAATCTCAGCTGGTGTCTGCTGAACAGGCCAACATCCAGTCCATCTATGGCCAGCTTAAAGGATAAGTTTGGAAGCATGTTACACGTTCCACCCATTTTTAAGTGTATCATGTTCTCGTTCCTGCAGCCATCGCCCGCTGTGTGCCGCTCTTCCCTGACAGAAGTATGTGGGTGCCACAGTAGTTCATTGATTCTTCCTGTCAGCAAGTATCAGCCTGCCTGTATGGGATGTACGAACAAACAGATACACTGACAGTGTGCAGGCGACCTGTATGGTATCAGCAATCTGCTGATCTCTGGTGCAATGCTTTACAGGCTCCTCACACAAAAAATAATAGATGCACATTTTGTTTTACCTGCAAAAAAATATGTGCATTTATTTTTTGTGGAACGGTAACTTACACTTTAGGACACAGTGCATGGTTCAGCCCCGCCCCCACTCTCCTCAACGGCTGTGATTGACAGCAGAGAGAGCTAATGGCTCCACCCACTGTGTGAGCCAAAGGAGATGGCAGAGAGCCTCTGCTGTCATGCACATCTTTGGAGCAAGATCAGGTTCAGGAGAGTGTAGGGGAAAGGGCTGGTTGGGGAGCTGCATACAGACGGTTTTTTACCTTAATGCAGAGAACACATGAAGGTGAAAAAACTTCTGCCTTTACATCACTTTAAACCTGTGTTCACACTATGGATCACGTGAATCGCATTCCTGTGCAATTCACATGTGATTCCATGCAGTGTGATCTGAGCCCATTTATATTGAATAATATTGACATACCCAACACACATTACTGGATCAGGCTCAGAAGTAGCAGCTGCTGCAGTGACATCTACCTGGAGACTGGACCAATCACAGGTCAATGTTCATATCTGCAGCACACCACGGATCACTGTCTTCCAATAGGCTTTTCTCTTTTTTTAATTAAAGAATGATCACTTGGTATGAACTGAAATTTCGGTGGCAGAAACGTTTCAGCCAAAAATACCCCTTTCGGACGTCAACCGAAATGAAAAAAAAAAAAAAAAAGCACCCATACAGGTGCCGAAAAAAACCCCGCCCCTCACTAGTTCTCACCCTTACCTGAGAAACCAGTGATCCCGGCGCTGGGCATAGAGATGAGTGGAGGAAAGATGGCCGCCACTCTCTATGCCCTTGGAGGACCGGAGCAATGTCACTTCTCGTTCCGGCCATTTTTTTTTTCTTTTCTTTTTAAAGCACTAGATCGATGCTTTTTTTTGATCCACTGCTTTACATTGTAGAGGAGAGATGTGGGGTCTTAGTGACCCCGTATCTCTCCATAAAGAGGACCTGTCACTAAGTATTTCTATCACAAGGGATGTTTGCATTCATTGTGATAAGAATAAAAGTGATTACATTTTTTTTTAAAGGAACAGTGCAAAAATAAAAATTAATAAATTTTAAAAATTTTAAAGTGCCTCTGTGCTCGCACATAGTGGTGGACACATACGTAGGCCACGCCCACATATGTAAATGGAGTTCAAACCACACACATGAGGTATCGCCACGAACTTCGGAGCAAGAGAAATAATTCTCACACTAGACCTCCTCTGTAACTTTACACTGATAACCTGCAGACATTTTCAATGCATCACCCATGGAGAATTTTAAGTACTGCAGTTTCACACCATTCCACGAGCGAGCGCAATTTTAAAGTGTGACATGTTGGGTATCTATTTACTCGCCATAACATCCTCTTTCGTATTTTTTCAAAAAAATTGGGGTATATATTGTGTGTTTTGTTTTTTTTAATCAGTGTATTATATTGCAAAAAATATATATTCATTTTTAAAAACTGCATTTCGGTTTTCGGCCAAGTGCATTTTGAATTTTCAGTTTTGGCCCCAGAATTTTCATTTTGGTGCACCATTAATGATCACATTACAAAAAGAAGGGTGCAAGGTTTCGGAGCCCCGCAGCTCTTCTTCAGGCATTGATGCGTGCTGTGAAATATCAACATTAATCATTCATTTTGAATGGCTCAAATTGCACCTGCACCAAAATGACGCCTGAAGCAAACGCATTGTGCTTGCGATCAGCTTTTTTGGGTGTCGTTACCTTTGAATTGACAGTTGCAGATCGCAAAACACAGTGCATTTGCTATGCAGGGCGGGAAATGCAGAGGAATTGCAGAGTTTCCCGCACCACATGTGTGAACTGGGGCTAAGTCCATGGGACCCCACTCTTCTGAACCATAACGCTATGTTCACACTAGTGTTGTGTGCAGGCGGCAGAGAGGCATTTGGGAAGCGTTTTTACTGCACATTGCAGCACATGGTGCTGTTCTAACGGGAGCAGTAGCGTCACGGCAAAATGGACGCCTCTGGACGAGTCAGGAGGCGTTGAAGCCTCCTATTCTTGTCTATGGTGCCGCTCCGCAAACGCCCGACATTTGCGGAGCGGTAACACCATTCAAACTTAATTCTAGGCGTTTGTGGGGCGTTTTTAACGCTCAGCAAACGCCTAGCAAACGCTGCTAAACTACGCATGCGGCGTTTGCGGAGCATTAAAAAACGCTCCACAAACGCCAGACCAACGCTTACCAAACGCTATAGGGGCGTTTGGCAAGCATTGGTAAAAACAGTCAAGTGTGAACGAGCCCTAACGCTGGCTTTGTGACATCAGTGGTCTGCTAGCCGGCATTTGGGGTGCCATTAATGATACAGCAAGCACAATGTGCGTTCTTTCCAAGTTCCCAGAACACGTGTGGCCAGGGCCTTAGGGCTCGCTGACACATGTGAAAGCGTGAGTCTTCCTGCACAGGAACGCACTGCCTTCTACAATCAATAAATGGCTCCCCCATGCCTCTAACAAGTGCGATCACATTGATGGCGGCCAAAACCCACAATACTGCAGTACTATGCGGTTTGGTGTTGCGCAATTTTATAAATTGTTCCTGCGCTCTTTTGTGCATTTCCGTAGGTTTAAATTAACAAATTGTGGAAACCAGCACAGTGGCTAATGGTTAGTACTTCCACCTAGCAGTACTAGGGTCATTGGTTCAAATCCCAACCACGGCACCACCTGCCTGGAGTTTGCTCTCCCTGTGCCTGTGTGGGTGACATGCTGGTAGGTGAATTGGCTCCTGTCTAAATTGTCCCTGGTATGTGTATGTATGAATGTAAGTTAGGGACCTTAGATTGTACGCCCCTTGAGGGTTAGGGACTGATGTGAATGTACAATACATATGTAAAGTGCTGCGTAAATTGATGGCGCTATATAAGTACCTGAAATAAAAGTAAATAATAAACCGCCCCCTACGATGCCAACAAGCGCTTCAAGCCCCATACACTCGCACTCTTGCAATCAAAAATGCTCGCTTTGTGCCAATAAAACGGCGTTTAGCCCCGCGTCTGTGAATCCCAATGGGAAGTGTTACAGCGAACCCCCCCAACCCAATATTGATGACGCTGAGGAGTCACCGCCATTTATCGCCCATGTGTACAGGGCCTGCGCTGACAATGGATCTCCTCCTCATCGGACCCCACATTCTGCAGAGCTCCCCCAGAGCTCACAGGACAATAAAGGAGGTGGGGGAGGGGGTCAGTCCTGAAGATGGGGGACATGTGACTGTCCCTGGAAAGGAGGACCAGCCCTGCCATGTCTAGAGGTGGGAAGGAAGGGGGGAGAGGTGTAGCGGCCATTACCGGCTCCCGGTGTCTTCTCTCCTCGGCTCCTCTTCCAGCCGCGCGCGATCTTTCCCGCCCTGCCGTTTGTCTCCCGCGCGAACTCCCCACAACCCCGGCTCGCTCCGAGCGGCTCCGCCTCCTCCCCCCACCTTCACACGCGTCACGTGCCTCGAGCTACCGACCAATCCGCAGGCTGAGGCGTCACCTAACGGGCGCGGGGTAACAGTAGGAGCGCTGTGCCCAAACACTTCTGGAAGAGAATTAGGGCGTTTCAGCCAGTTTCAAGTACTATATCAGAAGAGCCCGGGCGTGTGGCCGTTACAGGACTTTTTCTTTATAGACTGACGTGCCCACAGCAAAGATGGCGGTCCAATCACTTGTCGTAAGAAGTGACGCAAAAGGCGTTATGAGTGGGCGGGGCAATGCAGCTGCGACTGACGTTCTTTCCCGCGCTCGGGCACGGCTGTCAAAGGGGCGGGGTCTTTGTGAAACGTCTCGTCATTGCCAAGCCTCTAGAAGGGCTAACTTCCGGTAGACCGTCTTCTGAAAACTGTCTCCGCCAGTGGCCGTCGCCATTTGTTTGGAGGGATTAGCCAGAACAGCCCTCTACAACAGCAGCAGCAGCGTGAATCGAAATTCGTGAAGAAAAAGATTGCAAAAATGAGTTTTTGAATCCATCACACTGTGGGCACAATTCACTAAGGCCCTGTACACACTAGGGCGTTTCAAATCGCTGACAGAATTGCTTCGATTCTGCCCACAATTTCAAAACGCTGTGCAAAAATGAGAAATCAAGGAACAGCGTGTCCCCCTGCCATTCATCTTTAATGGGACCTGAAAACGTGATGCTGTTCTGTTGTGACTGTTGTGCAATAAATCACGCTGCAATGGCGGCAAATTGCGTTGTGAGACGCTAGGGTGGCTACCTCATCTCTTTAAAACCGATCACATCAATTACACAGGTTCTGGGGCTAATTTAGCGCAGAGAAGGCAGAATACATTTTTGTGTAAATTTATGATGAAATTTGATTTTTTACATTTTTTTACTGGACATGTTTAATAGCAAAACGTCAAAAATATTGTTTTTTTTCTCAAAATTGATGGTCTTTTTTTTATAGCGCAAAAAATAAAAAAACGCAGAGGCGATCAAATACCACGGAAAGAAAGCTCAATTTGTGGGAAAAAGGCTGTAAATGTAATTTGGGTGCAGCGTTGCATGACCGCGCAATTATCAGTTAATGTAAGGCAGCACCGTATGCAAAAAATGTCCTGGTCAGGAAGGGGGAAAAATCCTCAGGAGGGCAAGTGGTTAAAATAAATAACAGGCCTTTCAGAATTTAAGGGGAACCCCAAGCCAAATTTTTATTTTAAATGGCGTGGGGTTCCCCTGAACATCTATATCAGAACCGTATCAGAGCATGCAAGCCAGGGAAGGGGTACACTATTAACCTCTCTGGCGGCATTCCCGAGTGTAGCTCGGGGTAAAAGTTTCAGCACCACAAGCGGTAACCCTGAGCTACACTCGGGAATACCTTGCAGCGTTGCTTCGGGATCTCTTCACTTACCTTGTTCTGCGCTCCCGCGATGTCCCCCCTGCAGTGTCCCCTGTAATGTCCTCCGGCCGATGCCGGCATCTGTCTTCTGGGTTCCGTCCCCTGCGACGTCGGGACGTACGAGGACATAATTGGTGGGAAATATGAATGTAAAAAGTGACATTCACTAAATACACTAAAATCACATAGTAAAACATTACCGTATCAAACCATTTCACATACATTTTGTCCCGATTGCTTTGTCCTGTGCCCTGCCTGCATTTTTACTGTTCTTTCTGCCTGGAAACTGAGAAATGTCCATGGCGTCCAAAAAGCGTCCCTTTAGGTCAAAAGTGGTTTTAGACCGGCTAGAGAACAGCGATAGTAAATCAGAACCACTTGCAGAATTGAGTGATAATGATTTGTGGGGGAAATTCATCATCAGACACTGAAAACGATTTTGCGACTTTGCTCAGCGATGTGCGAACTTGGCGCTATATTTCAAATTTCAGTGTTTTTGGTTTGATTTCATTATTGAATTAAATTTATTATTATATTATTATTTTTTATGATTATTTATTAAATTATAATTTATGATTTCATGTTTCAAATTTTATCCTATCCGGGATGTTTACTAGACTCTTGTTCAGACAGATTTCAGTGAGTTATTCCTAAAAATTACAGCCTACAATAAAAAAAATACATATTTCCATGCAAAAAAATGTACCGATTTGAGCACAGAAATATGGACATAATCAGACCGTTAGGGAGGTTAAGGGGAACCCCAAGCCAAATTTTTCTTTTAAATGGCGTGGGGCTCCCCCGAAAATCTATATCAGAACCTTATCAGAGCATGCAAGCCAGGAAAGGGGTACACTATTAAAATACTAAATTACTGATGCTGTATTTTAGTAAAATTTTTTAGTGCATTACAAAAAATGTTTGAAAAACACTAAGAGGTATTTTATCTCAATTCTTAAAGCTGTAGATACTGCTTTGTGAATTGAGCCCTGTGTGTCTAAACTCAGTACTCCTCAGAAAAGCAATCCACATTCAGAACACTTTTCAGAGGCAATTGACCGGTGATGGGTAGGCGATGCTGAGTTCAGAACTACTGCATCAGGGGAGAGAAAGCGCATTTGAGGGGTTAGAATCAAAGAAAGGGCCCCTCCTGTGATGGTGACAAGTATAAACAAAAAAGGGTTCTTGCTTAAAAATGGATGTAAATGGACGCAGGGGCATCTCTAGGGTTGGTGTGACCCGGTGCGGTAATACTTGGTGACAGCCCCTCCGAAGATCCCCGCAGGATGGATTGGATCTGCGGATTAAGCATAATCGATCAGAGTCCAATCCATTATCCTCCCCAATCCACAGATCCAATCCATCCTGTGGGGATCGTCGGCTTGCAACCTATACGGGGTTAACTGATCTCTCCATGAAAAGGTACGTTTTAAAGCAAGCCAACAATCCCCGCAGGATGGATGGGATCTGCGTATTGGGGAGAATAATGGATCAGACTCCGATCCATTATGCTCAATTCGCAGATCTGATCCATCCTGCAGGGATCGTCGGCTTGCTTTAAAACGTACCTTTTCGTGGAGCGGGTCCGGTGTCACCCCATGTGATAGGTGTCACCCGGTGCGGCGCTCACCCCCCGCACCTGCCTAGGGACACCCCGGAATGGACGCCATCCATTTACATCCATTCAGATCTGTCGGAAAAGGACGTAGCCTTGTTTTGTTAAAACAAGACCCAAAAAGACAGACTTGTACAGACATGGATGTAGGTGAATGATTGTTTACATTTGCCCACCCATAGACATACAATGTAGTACAGTCTGAAAAACAGACAGATGCAGACTGAACACCCACATGAAAGGGCCCTAAAAGCTCCTTTAGCCCTGGTTCATATCTGTGTGGTCCTGCGGGCTGCAATTTGCGTGGGAACGAGAGCCCATTCATTTGAATGGGCTCCCGTGCCCCAGGACACGCAGGGAAGAAGTCCCTGCACTACTTTGGAATCGCAGCCCGCATGGGAACCTCGGTTCCCAGTACGGTTGCAATTTCCAGTACAGGCGGCATGCCATTAGAATTAATGGCACCTGCCTACGGGTCCCACATTTCTCTGTGTGGGTGGTGCAGCTGCAGGTATTTGTGCGGTCCCGCAGCGGCACCACCCGCACAGACGTGAACTAAGGATTACACCGGCAAGGTGAGCTGCTGGTGTGCACTGGATGGAAACAGTGCTGATGCCACTGATCACAGTACATCACACTGTTTACTTTGTTTTCCGTTAGAACTTTATTGAAATGTGATAAGTGACATTTCATTAAGTTCTGTTGGCAGCAGGGTAATGGATTGCATTACACCACGATACGCTGAAGATACGCTGGAGAAATGAACTACACTTGGCCTGCGGTAACACTGCAAATGTGTGAACAAGTCTTAGGTGATTCTTTTAACTCCTTTTCTTACAAAAAACAAATCCAATGATTTGAAGGTTGGATGAACGATTTTCATACCATAATTGTCTAAGATGAGAAAGAGGAACACCTTTAAGAGAACACATATACATGGAGAGGACTCAATCCCACCACACCCATTATGGGGGCCATTAAAAGTGAATGTAGCACTTACCCCCCCCCCAAGCCACTAATAGGTCCCCTGATTCCAGAAGACAATGACTCTTCCAGCAATGCCACACCCACAGACACACCAAGGCTGAAGAAGGAGATTCTATCTGGGCTACACACCCAACAAAGCAACAATAACAAAAAAAACCAGCAACAGGAATGAACGATTGAAAAGTAAAACAGATTCGTACCATACAACAAAACCTAGAATTTACTGTATGTACCTGTACCATAAATCTAGGGAGAGGGTCCTAATTATAGGCTGTACTAGAAGCTGAAGGTCCTTACCCTAGGTTCACACCTAAGCGTTTTCTGCAGCATTTTGCAGAAACGCAGTAAAGTCCACGTAACATGATTTCCTATGGGACATGTTCACATCTCTGCATTTTCACCCGCTGTGTTTTTTGGAAAGGGTTGGGGACTTTTTTGAATGCAAAAATGAGCTTTTTTAGTTTTATAGACTTCAATGGAAACTCTGCACAAAAGCATGTATTGCGTTTTTACGGCTTTATGATGTGTTTTTGCTGCGTTTTTGAATATGCCTAGCAACAAGAAAGAAAAGCAAAAACGCAAAACCCAATGCAAAATTAAATGCAGAAACGGCTCAAACGCACCCTGCATAGGTGTGAACTTAGCCTTAACCTCTTCCCGTCCAGCCCATGTCGATAAATGGCCAGACAGGAGCGCTGCCGATGTGGGTAGACGTTTCTAAACACAGATCGCTGTACGAGACCTCTGTGTGAGGTGACAAGCTGTGACCAATCACAGCTCGCACAGTATTTCTTAATGGCTGCAGGAATGCAGCCAGAGAGGAGAAAATTATTAATTACAGCCTTTATGGGTGTAAAAGCAATCAGTGTAAAAAAAGAAAAAAAATATTCATCACCTGTCATGTTTCACATGACTGTTATATTGACTGTCATATGCCTTTAAATGTTTTTTATATTTTGTTTCTGCTCCTCCCTTTCCTTTGGTTTAGTTAATGCTGTATAGATAGCCCTCCCCTTTTCCCAGAAATGCATTGCAGCAAGCC